TTGGTTTCTGGCCAACTGCTGAATGCAAGTCCAATATTCAATCCTTTTAGCTCAGTTTTGGTCTCCACCCACTCATAAGGGATGTACCTGGCTCTTTAGCTGCTAAACGCATCACTGTTCACCAGCTAATTGCTAACTTTGTCTGCAGGTAGGTAGCGCCAGTATATCAGAGGTTGTTTGCTCAAAAATTCTCTATCTGTGGCTCACACACGCACACACACACACCTTTGACATGTCACTCCCACTCCTCTACATTTCCAGAAAATACACATGTGCACCTGAACAAAAGAAGCCAACCAACACAAAAGTGACTGCATTGAAACATTGCACGGATGCACGCTATTAAACGTGTGCATGCAGCATACTTGAAGTGCAATCGAATGCACATGAGCGAACACACACACACACACACACACACACACACACACCCTTATCAGCATGTGAAAAGCTGCGAGGCGACTGCTGTCTGTTTGTGTGTCTGCGTCGCTGTTTCTGGTGTGTGTTTGTGAGACAACACGAGCGCTTTCGCTCCCTCCGAGGCCCCTTATTCCCCCGGTGGAGATGAAATGTAATGGAGCCGATTCAATAAGAGAGCGCTGCCTCCTCTGGAAACGCCTGAGAATCAAATCACGGCAAATCCCTCAGAGCCTTCCCCGCCGTTCGCTGCTGCCTTGCAGCTGGGAGGGGAAATAAAACAATGGTGGCTAATTCACTTCAGTTCTCTGCACACTTGCACACACACAACAGGGATGGAGGGTCGTACAGCAAATGTTTAGGGCTAACAAAGCTATTCAATAACACGCTGACTGCTTCTACAATATGTATCAAGTAAATTCTGCTCATTCATTTACTGCGGATGGCAAAGACACGCACCATTACAGAGCTGAGCAAACTATTCATAGGGTATTTAGGAACAATAACATGGCGACACATGTTACCAGATGTCAATGCTACAGTATACTCCGGGACCCCAGTCTTTTTCAAGCTGTAATGGTGGGAAAACATTGGGGGAGATTAAAAAACATGAAGCTTTGGACAATATTTAGCTTGGCAGGTTGAGAAAGAAAGACCACCAGCATCCCAGCAGCAAGGTTATGTAATTTGGTTGCGAGCCAAAACAAAAACACTCAAAAAAAAAGAATGTTCCCAACCTGACACTACACCGTGCTCGCCTACGCAACAAACCGCACAGCAACTTAACAACATCAAGTGCTCCTGTGAAAACATGTACAACCACCAATTTACTGTAGCTTCATATATCTATGTACAAACGACGGGTCTAATCCTGACAGTAACTGTTCCAGAGCTACATGTTGTTTCAGGCGTGATGCAGCAGACTGGCTGACAGTCCTCGGGGTCACGCTCTTTCAAGCCAAGGAAACGGGCGCACTGTTCCCAAAAGGCTTCTGAAGCTCCCCCTGGCCTCTTTAGTTGTTTTTGTTTTTAAACCTCCGCGGTTAAATTGAAATGTCTGACAGCGCTATGTTTGAAGGAAAAAAAAGAAGAAGATGAGGCAATTAAAAATGAATTCCGATGGATATTTATGCAGCTGCATGTTGTCTTTGTTATTGTTTCTTCTTCCCCCATTTCCTCTCGTTCTGCGGTGTTAAAGAAAGGCAATTGTGCATTTTACTGCCCCAGGAGGAGCTGACGGGGGGGGGGAGGGGGTGATTCTGGTATCCTCATTTGGGGCATTGAGATAGAATCTCGGTCCCGTTGTTAAAATGAGTGTTGTGAGGAAGTGACAGCGCCCGGGGTTAATGGATGGATTTCCTCTTGGCAAGCACAAGTTTGGATAACCTGCTCCAGGAAGATCATGATGACACTGCTGATGATTATCATCACGAGCGGCGGCTTCAACAGTTAAGAGTCACAGTAGACGCAACAAAGGCAGAATATGTTGTTGTGTCATATTTGAGTCTCACCACTCTGATGACTTTCCTTATCAGTCACTGTGTTGTTCTCTGAGAAGCAAAGGTACAGTCAAACCAAATTGGAGCTTAAAATTGTGCTATTTCAAGAAAAATTCCCTTATTCTACATGTCTCATTTAAAATGTCAGGAGTAAACTGTTAGCACCAACCAAATCCTGTTGAAAACATAACAATTCTGGGCTCCTATGCGCAACTGGGAAGCCAGGATTGATTTGTGAGACTGAAACATTAAAAAAAATAATAAAATCTGTGGAACAGAACTGCAGGCTGCTAAACACAGAGGAGAGAGGGGAGGACAAGATAGGTTGTAAAAATGTAATTCATTTAATATGCATAGCATGTTTTCCAATATTAGTAACACTTGTGGGATCTTTGAAAAATGTTGTATATACGGCTTCAATTGCTTTCCAATTTATCAAAGAAATTCAACTTGAAATTTCATCTTTTCTCAACTGTGTTATTCTGCACAGAAGACACTTCTGAGTTCTCTCTACTTCTCGCCATGATTGCGATGTTTCCGTAGAGGTGGAGGACTTATTGTAGTGAGACAACAAGGCCACAGAGAGTTCAGAGTGCTCTGCGGATAAAGATTATTATTACGTCATATGATGGAGCTTATGAATCTCTCTGCCATGGCTTTGACCCCTTCAGTCTGATTCTGAACATGATCTTGTGAGAATCACAACACGGCAGCATCAACAAAAGGGCTTTACAAACACCGATTCAAAAAGTGTGACATGTCCTAAATGACTCGAGGCATAAGATACTGAATCAATGATTGACTGGCTCCTCTCAGACAAACGCGGCTTGTTAAACGATTCCCGATTCGAACAGTGACGAGACAAACGGCAACACCCGAAGTATGGAGCCGACACCACCGGAATCTCAAAGCGTTTGTTTGAACTTATCACGGCATGCCCGTCATTTCAAAAGAAAAGCGTCAGCGGAGGAGCAACATAACATTGTCCTTCGCTCTCAGTTTCTATGGACATGTTATTGCTTTGATCAAATCTGCTCAATGCTTAAGCTCTGATATCAGTCCGCGCTGCCATTCCAATCCCACAATAACAAACACTCCCCGTCGTCGGGCGAGGCCCCCTCCCTCCAGTGCTTGGCACGGCAGGGTCTAATTCACTTCCTGTTCAGTAGGGGGCAGACAGGAAACGCGCTTCCTGCTTCTCTCGGGAGGTATATTTTGCTTACGATTGGGGATCTGGGAGCGCAACATAATATCTTCAAGGAGTGCGAGTCCCCGGCACCCACGCTGCTGGAAGCAAAGCCTCCTGAAAAGAGTCAGCGTTTCAAGTCTGGGGCGGGATGGTTCGCATGAGGAGCAGCATTAAAATACCAGGGCGGTGTGCAAAATCACATGCACGACCTTATTACTCCAAGAACGGTTGGTGCTCTAAAAGCCCACAAGCCGATCAGAGTCAAACAAAAGGGAGACCTGTTGCTGGTATTAATTGAAAAAACCAATATTACCTCAGCTTAAAATGAAATGCAATAAAGAGTTTTGTCTCCAAAGCCCAGTGGAACCAGCTAAAGCCTGGGGTGCAATGAACTACTGAGGTTGCTCAGTCACGGCTATCCCTTTCAGGGTTGCAACTGGTACAGACTTAATTCTTGACGAATGTATATTCGTTATTTTTCAGACTGATGAATCATTTTACCTATAAATGTATACAAACACTAAAGAGGCCGTCCACAGGCTCCCACAGCCGGAGTTACAATGATGAAAAAACACCAGACAAGTCAGCAAATACTCGCATTCCAGAAGCTGGAACTATTGAATACTTTAAATTGTCTTGATGAATGACTTAAATTATTAAACAATTGTAAAAGGCGGTCCATTGAAATGATTTCAGCGCTAATCCGTCTGTGGGCTTTGGGGGGGGGGCAGCTTTCTCGCAAAACTTCAAAGAGGCATAAAACAATATCTCATGGTGGAGCACAGAGGGGGAAATAAAATTGCTTGTGTGGTGAATGAGTGAACTGTTAACTTTAATATAACAATGATTAGAGTCTAAATCATGAGCAAATTCCCTCACCTAATTAAATAAGACTCCGTATCTGATGTGCATCTGCATAACTCCACGCAGGACCACATCAGGGATTTAATAAAATAAATAAATTAAACATGCTATGACAACAGCAGCACAATGAATTATGAATCAATACGAGCTACAGCACTCTTGAAGTACACGCAGGCTGCCGGGGCCATCTGGGGATGTGTGAAAACCACGACTAAGACAAACCCATTCATCCACGGTGGATGTGCTCGCCTGCATTGCCTGTGTTTCTGCTACGCCGCAGGCTTTCCTCGATTGGCTCCGAGTTCCCCAAAATCCATCTCAGGGCTACGAAATCTCCGCGTTCATTGATCGAGGGAGGATTAGAAAGCACAGACCTGCAGTGATGAGAACTGCTGCTGCTGCTGGAAAGATGCAGGCGCTTAGAACGCTCTGGCTTTTATTTGGCTGGCCGTCGCTGCAGTGGACTTCGCTTTGGGTTTTTAGGTTTGGTTATGCTTCCACTTGGCTGGCTGTACGTGAATGCAAAGTAGACGCACAGAGGAAGAAAGGGATCTCCATGTCAGGCCAGGGTGATCATTTCAAAATGAGCTGTCAGTCATGGACACAGACGGTAACTCAGAATGTTTCACGCAAACGGAGGGAAAGGCTGGAAACAAGGTGGAATCAACAAGAGGACGGAGGAGAGGTAGAAAGGTCAGGGGAGACGGAAAGAGAGACGGATATTTCAAAGGTTCCCATTCACCCACTGCCTCTCCTGAGTAATCCCCCCCCACCACCACCACCACCACCACCCGAGAACGGTGTCTAGCAGTCGGCGAGCTGACATTTACCGCCTGCCTTCTGTTGCTGTGATTATTTTCTCCTGCAGGTGTGATAGCCAGCTTGCCGTCTCTGCGCAATAATGTTCAGAGTTCACGAGAATTGGGAATGCGAGGCAGTATCGGGCCCGGACAGACATTTCACTGACATACCAGGACTGGGGGGGGGGGGGGGGTTCACAACAGAGCTCTTTAAACGCATAAATCCACCCCTACCTGTCTGCAGACGGAGGCCGCTCGTTGCGGGCCTTGCTGACTTGGGTGTAGAGGGAATCGGAGTGCTGGTGGTGTGGATGGAGGTGGGGGTAGTCGTCCCGGGGGCTGTGGGGCCGGCTGTGCCCGCTGTCCACGGAGCTGTTCAGGGGGTTGATGCCTGCGTACGGGTGCTCATCCTCGGAGCCCCTCTCCGGTGAGCGGCTTATGTCCAGGATCTCGGCGTAGTCCCGCTCCCTGGCCTGGCGCTCCCTCAGCTCTCTGGTCTTGGCCTGGATCCTGATGGTGAAGAGTGTAACAGACATGTTGATACCAGCTTTTCTGGCTCAAAAGACAATGGTGGGTCAGAAAAAGGACCAGTCTGTGTAGCGCTGGGCTGCTTCTGGAAAGAAAAACTTCTATGTGGTTCTGGTGCTGTAATGTATTCTGTATGTGGCTATTAAGTATGATATGAATGGGTACTGCCATGCCAAATATATCCATTCCTCTTTCTTGTATTTATATATCAAGTACTACAATGGAAACCTGGTTTTCTATTGTTAAACTAAGCTACATTGGCAGCAAACACCTCCGTCCGTATTGACAGCCCAGTCGCCAGCAAAAAAATTATGTTTGTGCATTTTACGTTTCTTTAAAGACAGATGCGTTGAATGTCAGAGTAGGTGACGTAGTATATCGAGCAACCGTTATTGAAAGGTATGAGGTATAATAACCATTATAACAAGCGAGAAGGTCCACTGAGAGCAGGTGGGAGTGCTGCTGGTTGATGACAAACATTGGACTTTCACCCAGGAGCTGTTTGTGTCCCGTGTGACACCAGAAGTAATGGTTGACTTGACGCTGGTTACGTGACGCTGTTAGGCTCGTTAAGGATGAAGCTCAGGCTGATTGTTATTCCTTTACACTAGCTACGTTGTAACAGTATTATTTTAACACAAACTATGATCTTTAACCAAGTAGCTTTGCTGCCTAAACCTAATCAATCATTAACGTAAACTATGGGGCGTTGTGCTTTTCTACCAACAAGATAGGAGGCTGATATGAAATATATTTATGAAACTTATTTTTGGTTCAGAAACGTCGACATTCAACGTATCCCCTGGTTTGGAGAAATGTGCAATGCCAACATTTTCTTCTGGCAGCTGGGTTGATATTGACTGACCACTGGGTTAAAGACTGAGAGAATACTACGCTTGAGTTCCTTCCATTGTAAATATAATAACTGTGTTGTTCTCCAGATTCATTTATTGAATTCAGCCTCGATTACTGGAAGCAAAGAACCAAAGAGACATTAGATTGAAGCCCAATGAAAAGTCAATATGTACGATAACTGATGCTGGTAATATGAGAGAGACTGTTATTAATTGGACTCTGTTTCTATCTGCAGGTATGTGAGCTACTCAGTGAAAGAGTCAGAATCTGCTTCCTTTGGGCCACTATGGCCAAATTGACAAGTAGTTCATTGACTGGAGAACCAAGAGCAAACATTCCCGTCTGATTGCTTTATGAATAAATGGTTTCTCGATTTCATTTCCAGTGAATCAAACATAATAAAGAACAATACTCATATTTCTATCAATCTAAATGGCCCTCCCCATATTATATTATCTTGTAAATGACACTTGTTCATTCTTTGCTATCCGAGTTTATGAAGCGACCATGTCTGGTTCTTCTTGTTCATGATACAATTATTGTAGATGCACATTATTTGAATGCTGTCCGTTAACTATGTAATTGACAGATTTATTAAAAGGATTTCAATCATTCAAATAGTGACGTAAAGCACATACTGTTACATGATGCGGGCAGAACAAAGCCTGATATCTAGTACTGTACCAAACTGTATGAATCACAGTGAAGACCGCTCCGTGGGAGATTGAACACGCCCCCTTACTGGTTCCCACTTTGTCAGGTAAAACCTTTGTGCTGCTGAAGCCTCGTGATTACACATGGCGGAGCTGAGCGACGCTGTAAATCTCAGCCGTCACGTTAACAAAACACCAGACGAGCCACCGCAACATTAAGAGTGATTGTTTATTGTGTCTTTTTTAACTTTCCATTACAGAAGAGAGAGATGTGGAGCCTATTATTAATCCCCCCCCCACTGAATAATACCATAAACAATACATAATAGTCTGTCGCCCCCACAGCACCTCATATGAGGGAAGCACTTTGTATTCAGAGTGCTGCTAATGTATAGCTCCCACGCTTTTCTCTTTCTGTCTCTCAAACACACACACACACACACACACACACACACACACACACACACACACCTCCGATACCTTTGTGTCTCATACAGAACAACTCAAACACACAGAAATCACACACACACACACACTCTCTCTTTAGGCCATTATCTTGTGAATAACTGGCAACCCCATTTGCTGCAGCAGGGGGACTCTACCTATCGTGCAGTCCTGTAATTACAGCCTTGCCAATTATCAGAGCTTTACAACTACCAATTATCGTACTGCTCTCTTTTCTCCAGGCCCCTTTTTAACGGCGGTGGGGAAGAGAATGGGACAGTCGCAGCGACGAGGTGGGGGGTGCACCTTGACTGAACGCTCAGTGGGCAAAAAAAATCTGAATCCAGGAAATGTGCATGCTGTGCATAATGAAACAATAAGTCTAACGAGGGGGGGCTCCCCATCGGAGGTAAAAAATGTGCATTTAAAACAGAAAAGTTAACTACTAAAAACGAGGCTGCTAATGAACTTGATGGTTTTATCAGCTCCCGACTGAACTTGACAGGGGTAACAATCTTTTTAGCACAATGTGCACTTATTCCAACAACTGAACCCATGTCGAAGGAAAGCTTGTGGACCTGCATGCTGTGTCTGTACTAGTTGTGGACTCAGCAATTATCGAACAGCGCCGAAGGAAGCCGGGCCCTTGAGGGATCTATCTTTCAACAGGAAAAACAGTGATTTCCACCAGAGAGAGAAGCAGCAGCAGTAGAAGTGGGAGCAGGTACTGATTGTATACACAAGTGCAGTGGCTGATAAGATAAGGCCAGACATACCAATCCAGCGCCTGGCCCCCTCCCAAAACCAGGCCCTGGAATGGGTCAATGGGGCCAGGTTCTGAGAGAGGAAGGATGCAGCTTTGAACCAGTTGTGGGTGTGTGAGAAAAGACGCATATCTCCATTCTTAAGAGCTGGAGTGTTGAAGACAGACGGCTGCCTACATTAGTGGGGTCAAAACAGGTCTGAGATGTGTATGTGTGCGCTGAAGGGCCAATCCATTAACCTGTTGATTATATTTTCGATATTTTGCAGAAAATAGTGAAAGAAAACAACTATCAAAACTTCCCAGAGCCCAAGGTAACGTCTTCAAATTGTTCAACCAACAGTTTAAATCTGGCACATCCTGCATTTCCCCTCTGGGATCAGTGAAGGTTGATGTTAACTACAAGCAGCAAATCCTCACATTTGAGACGCTGCTACAGCATTTTTGCTTAATGAACAAAACCAAAAAAACCCTTAAAGTTTTTGTTAGTATACCTTTACATTAAATAGTTTGAAGTCTCAAACACCCATCACGTTGCCATCCATCCTCAATCTGCCTCTGCAGCGTACTCTTCTACTCTGCTGTCCCAAACTATCAGACTTTCTACCTAAACACTATTCAACACTAGCCTCTTCGTTTGTCATGCACGAGCAGACTGCTGCAACAGTAAATAACCAGCTGTGATAGCGATCATTGGAAGCTGTGTCATATTTCAGGGGGAAGAAATGTAAGATGATTCATTTGAGAAGCTGAGCTTAGGTATGGAAGGTGGAGAGTTATTTGATGCTGCTCGAGTGGTTCATTGATGTTTGTAGGGCTTCTTTGGCGGTACTGGGCCACCACTGGGGCAACTGGTGTGAGTCAAGGCCGACTACAGCTGTAGTCCGTTAAGACTCCATCTACGTCAACATGACAGGCACTTAAAAAGCAATGTTGCTAAAAATGTGCAATTGTACAAACACAATTACGTTGATTAAAATGGGGACAGGAAGGATAACCACACTTGGCCTCATCATTGCCCTTTCGGTCCCAAAATATTTACGCAAGGAAAAGCCTGCCTTCTTTCCAACGGCTGACCTCGATGAGAGATGAGAATACTCTCAGCGTGAAGGATTCGAGGGCGGTAGGAAAGGAGTCTAAGGACAAAAAGAGAGCGTAGCAGAGAGGGAGAGAGAGGGAGAGACAGCAGATAAAAGGTATAGAAATGGCAGGATGGGACATTATGGGGGAAGAAATGTGTTTGACGAGTGACCTTTCTACCACATCAAGCCAGAACAATGGTCCATTATGTGCCATTGTAACCACTGTGTAATAAACCTTCCTCTTAGCGGTAGTGCTGACACAACTGATAGACCCCGGTGAAAGGCAGGAAGTACATGAAAGTAGAAGGTCCAGCGGGATAAGACGGCTGCTGAAAGCCCTCATGGAATGATTACACTGGACATGTGAATCTTAATGTGTTATGACAAGGAGCCTGAGCCGGCCCTGAGGGACACGCAAGACTTTAGAGGGCCCAGGACATTATAGTGCATACGTACATCTTGGCAATCTCTCACTTTTTATTATATTATATTTATATTTCACATTACAAAACTTGAGCCGATACTGTTAATGTTGAGCTGGAAGTTCACTGGGAGAAATGACGTGACGTACAGCACACTGGGGGGGGGGGGAATTCATTATTAGGGATACAAAAAAAAGGTAACACCATTTCACGACATTTACAGAAAAAAGACTTAATCGGATTGCGGATACATTTGGTAAAAACAGGGATTACTAGCAGGTTTACAACTTTAAAACACATATTTATTGTCTTAATTTGCATATTTGGAATTTAAATAATCCAAAAGTAACAAAGTAATCAGATTACATTACTTCAATATTGTGATACTTAAATTAGGTTGCTGATTACATTTTTTAACAGGTATTTAGATTAGGATTACATTTTTTAAAGTAACCCTCCCAGCCCTGTTTTTGTCTCTAAGTGGCTGCTGTGTTAGTTAAATAAATGCAATGACACACACCAGCTAGAGTACCTTGTAGGCTCTGCTAGGTTGCACCGTGCAAAGCACAGGGAAGTGTTTTAGATCTCTTTACGAGAGTGAAAATAATTTCCCATCAATGCTCATGTCTGGGTGTCCGTGACTGAATGATCTGAATCTATATTTTCAGGGATCTGTCAATCTGAGGTGCATCAGTATTGACCCCCCCCCCCCACACACACACACCCCAGTGTGCTGTCTGAAACTGTCTGTCTAGATTTGTTGGTCTGGCTTGGGGTTGGGGTCCACTGGGACCCGAGACTTAAACCTGCGAGGAAATCCATGCATTTAGTCGATCACAGCTGGATTAAGCATGGCCTCTGGCAGCGGCCGATCGATGGGCGCTGTGCAGCGAAGGTGCCGAAGCTCCCGGCTGAGCGGCCCGGTGAAAGACGGCTAACCGGATCACTGTTTAACGTCGAAGCAGCCACAGTCTTCCGCATCCTGAGTGGGAATCTCCCCGTCAGTATCGGTGCATCTCAGCCAGTGGTTAAATACAAACGAGAGGCGCACTTGTGCTTTTCAGTTGCTTGGGGAGGGGGGTGTACGCATGGTTGGAGTGAGTCAAACACCCAACACTGAACTAAATAATGAATGCATCGAACATACTGTCGGACAGTCCCAGGACAGCTCCCGCTCTGTGGAGGCTGATCTTTGTTCCTCATATACCTGTTTGCCTGATTTCCCTGAGCTCTCTCTTGCCCTGGGCAACACCGTTACACACTAACAAACAGAAGAACAAATACATGCACAAAAACACCCATTTCTTACGTCTTGCTGATAAATCTGAAGAAATACTGCGTTTACTTCATCTTGTACGTAATGAGAGGCAGCCCTATTGGTTACATTTGAGGACAAGAAGTAACAGAGAAGCCACAGATGGGATTAACATACGAAAGGATCTTTTAACCAGAATGCAGTGCAACAACCACATCATCTGACGTGGCATTTGCGTTAACCTCATGCCAATTAAAAATAAAGACTTGCTATTATCATATTATTGGACTATCTGCTCTGCAGGCGTAAAGAGAGAATTACAAACCAAATTTTAATAACGAGCACCCCTACACCGAGAGCATGGGAATTAATTAGCTGGCAGGGCTGTAATAGCCTTGGCATTTATAAACCGCCGCCCTAAAAACACTGGCACTGTGCCTGTCTGACATTTAGTTTGGAGAGAGAGAGAGAGAGAGAGAGAGAGAGAGAGAGAGAGAGAGAGAGTGTTTGGTTTTGGCCACAGTACAAATTGTGTATTTATTAAACATTAATGTACTGCTGTTGGAAACTGGGATTACTGCCTCACGGTTGTATCAGCAAACCAGTTAAGTTGTGATTAATATCCACGTCTGTGCAAAATGTCATCACTTCCATCATTTTAACCTGTTAGATATTTGTGGAAAATGTTAAGAATTAGCATATAAATTCTTGAGTTGTGGCTAAAAACATGTTTTGTGGGGACGCAGTGATCTTTAACCACCAAAATGTGATCAGAAAATGGGAACGAAGGACAGAAAATACATCAGCCGCTGGTATCGCTACTTCGTTTAATCTGTAAAATGTCAAAGAGGGAATTCCCAATTCCCCTTGTGTACTTCTGGTCAGGGACTGTTTTCACGGTTTTGGACTCGGCCCCTTGTTTCTAATTAAGGGAATTCTTATGCTACATGATGCACGATATTAGTTGGCTTCCAACATTGTGACAACAGCTGGGAGAAACACGTTGTTGTTTAACCGTGACAACGCTCCTGAGCACAAAACATGAAGAAATGTTTTGCTTCAGTTTGGTGAGGAAGAACTTGAGTGGCCTGCACAGAGCCTCAACATCAAGCCAATGCAACACCTTTGGGATTACCTGATGCAAACTGAAAGCTAGGCATTATCACCCAACATCAGAGTGGGTCCTCACTAATGCAACCTGTGAACAAGTCCCTCCTTCAGCTGATATTAGGAGGAAACAAATGAGACAGAGTGAACACAACCTAGATGTGTTGATCAAAGCAGGGAGCGGTGCTACAGGACCTACAAGCCTTTAGCCAAAATTACTTTAGCAGTCCACTAACTGAAGCGTTTTGACTTCAACGAGCAGATAGAAGGAAACCTGGAAGTGGGCCAGGAGAGGAGACAACCTGGAAGCTCTCATCTGGACATTCACTTTGTAACAATGATCAAGGCTGCTCAAAACACTGAGATCCCCGAGAGAAACGCAAGTATTACATTCATTTGGTTTAAAGAGCTGTGTGGAGTTATGACAAATACTCGCCCCCATTGATCCCACAATAACAAAGCACATGAGAGTCCAGACACAAAGGGACCTTTCTCCAGCACAGCCCTGAGCAGGAAAAAAAAGACTTTTAGCAGGTGCAACATCACAAAGACCTCACCTCTCCTGCTCCATCCTCATCTTCATCGTCTCCTCATCTGAAACCTGCGTCTCCTCCACCCTCCACTTGCTGGAGCCTTTACGGTCCAGCTTCTCTCCCGGCCGCTCGTCCTTACGGTGCTTCCCAAACCTGGAATACCAAAAAAGGTGGAATTAAGAGAATTACTAATTAATAGAATAATACTGTATTATTTTCTCGTTTCTTAGTTTTGTCTGTCCATCATTCTTCCAGAGTCACTCGTGCTGTTGCTTGAGCAGTTTCATTTCCTCCGAGGGTGAAGAAACGGATCAGTGAGTGGATGGGAAGTCAGGGTCACGAGACCATTTCAAGAAGATCTTTTAAATGATTTAAAACTTAGACATTAATCGACTTTCTGTGACTTACAACGAGCGTGCAGGTACGCTCGTACAACATGTACACAGTAACTCAAAATCAACTGAAAACAGTTACGACTCAACGGTCGATCAAGCCCTCAAACCAACTTTTCACAGGTTCAAACCAAATTCCGCTGGTTTAAAGTTGGGGGAGGGGGGGGGCGGTAAACGAAGAAGGCGTCGACGCGCGGTAATTACATTCATAGGGAGGGAGTGACGCTTAACGAAACAGGAGCCATTGCAGAGATATTTCTGCTTGATTGACTCGGTATAAAGCCACAGCCCGTCAGAGAAATGACTTTGGCACCGCGCTTGCTTCCACAATGAACCTCCGTGATTATTCACAGGGAAATTGGTCCGCAGAGAATATCTACCAGTTCTAAGGAGACTGTGCCGAGAGAAACCAGAGAGGTGTGTGTGTGTGTGCTAATGAAAGAGACAGAAGACGGTGAACAGGAGAGGAAAAAAAATGAACGCGGGCAAGAGAAACTCAATGAACGAAACATTAAGACCGAGAGCTAAAATACGGCGAAGAATACAAAGGCAACCTCAAGAGGAGTGTGTGTGTGTGTGTGTGTGAGAAAGTGTGAAAGTGACTGAAGAAGGAGAGACAGAGTAAAGTGAAAAATAGAGAAAGATAAAACGAAAAACACAGAATCAAAGCAAACCAAAGAAGTGAAAATCCCAACAGTGAAACGTGAGTGTGTTTAGGAAATGAAGAACAAGAGTGTAAATTGTCCCAACAGGAGAAAGAGAGAAAAAAAAAGACACAGATGTGTGAATGGAAAGCAATGTAGAAGAAAGGGAATAGAAAACAAGAGGAATAAAGTAAATCAATGAACGAAACACAAAGAAAGAACAAAACAAGCGAACGAATCTGCAGAGAAAACAACACTGAATGGGAATAAAGGTGAGAGGATGAAACTATATCTAAAAGGCATTATTATAGTGATGTGAAAACAACAAAGAATGGGAACATTAAAAAGAGAATAATGAAGAGAAAGTATTTAAAGAAATAATTAGTGTATGTAAATCGAAGAAAAAATGACAAAAAATACATTTTTAATCTTAAACAACAGTGAGAGAAACAAACGAATAAGAAAAAGCAACACTTTTCCCACAGCTCTCCTTAACTAGTTTGTGGTGTTTATTGTCTGGGAATTATTTGAACAGCTTTAAACCTTTAAAGTGATCAAATATTCCGGACTAACAAAGGGAACGGATCAAATCCTCTGACTTGCAGCACACAGATGCTACCCAGCGGTTCAGCATCTGACAGACCTCGTGAAAAATATGCACGTCAGACATCAGATGACTACTGCTGAATCTGGCTCTCCATCATCACGCGCGCTGGTGATTTGTCAAACTGGGGGAAAACGGTGTGAAGATTTTTATCCAATGACTGAAATGAAATAAACCTTTTCATTGTTTAGAATAACTTTTGAAGAAGAGTTCCAGTAGCAGTTCTGTCTCAAATACAGGAAAAACATACTTAGAATTACAGCCTTGTGGTTGTATTCCTCTGCCAACCATTCAAGTTGCAGTTCACATCATCTCATCCTATTAGACGTTGGTGTGAAATTGTCATACATAGCATAGGAATGTTTGAGTTCTAACCAAAGACATGTTCATGACAATGGGACGGACATCCGATCACAGTGAACACCAAATTCTAATAAGTTCGTTCTTGAGTCCATGTGGACATTTGTGCCAGATGTGAATAAATCCACTTATGGGGTATTGGATGGACAGACGGACAACCGGAAACGGTCACCAGCATGGAGGCATTAAAAAACACCAAAACCAACAGACAAACCACACAAAGAGACCAAAGACAGACTACTCCGATCATTTGTTTACGCGTACCGTACATAATGTGTAGTCCCTAAATGCATCTGCTGTGACCCAAAAGGCATCTGTGACGTGTCCCAAGTTTCCAAAAGACAAAGTGAGGAAAACCAAGAGACGACAATGAGGAGGAGAAACCGCAGTGGAGACGGAGCGGGCTCGGAGACTATGGCCCATTACCTGATTAATTTAACTGCGGCTGCCTGAAATGCTCGGAGTGGCGGCTCGCCGTTAACGCTAAGAGCAGGAGTGATCTATCACGGCAAGAGACGGTTGACACTTTCTTTCTCCACACCACTAACTTTCATTAACGGCCTCTTAAAAGACAGCCGGGCTCTCCGTGTCGCACACACACACACACACACACACACACATACACACACACACACACACTAAGATTTATGACTGAAGGGGAAAACTTTGAGGAGGAGACCGAGTATTAACCACGACTCGGGGGCATTTAATAATCTTATATTCCAGGCACAGTTAGGCCCGCCTCGTCTCGTGAGACCGACGCCATCGATAAAGAGGCTTTGACGGGTTTTTTTGTGGTTTGAAACGACAACTTCAAAATGTCAAGGCTTCAGCTAATTCTATTCAGCAGACCGCCGGTGTGTCACCGCTAATCCTTCCAACCGCACAAAAAAAAGTGAAAACACGTCTGGTGGTGTTGTGGGCAGGTTTGGGTGGCACATTGGATACGCAGCACCGCTGAAATGTCACGGGGCAGTCGGTAAATCAGAGTGGCCAATTCAGGATAAAGTCAAGAACTAATGTCACGAAATTATTAGTACAAGGCGTGAAGGCATCTAGGAAAATGTCAAAAATGATAATCCAGAAATGTTGGTCCTACCTCCATTCCCAACATGATAGACGAGGCTCAGTGTTACAAATTCATTGATGGGAAAAATAGTATTTACTTAATTTGCCATCTTGCCATGTCATGTTATTGGCTGACAGAATCTCTAACATGAAAATCAATGGCCTTAGTTGTAGTTTGTAATTCATTTGAATACAAAATGCTAACATGTTAGCGTGCTAATATGCTACTCTTTGCGAGTTAAAAAGTTGACATGCTTCACATGGTGAACACTAGTGTTTTGACATGCTAATTGTTATATGTGTTAACGCTACCATTAGCATACTAATATGCTGACATTATGCTAACAGCTAAAGGTAGGGCTAGGCCTAACCTTAGTGACCAAGGCCATCTTACAATCAAGTCGGACAAAAGCGGCCACCATACTGTATTTTATGTTCGGTAACAACATGAGCTTTTTCTCTGGCTCCACCTTCAGGCCAAGCTGTAGATTTATGCTCCACTAGTGGGATCTAAGAATAGCAATCATGTTGTGATCTAATGAGCATTGCAGCCTCATAGGGCCGCCAGTCGAGTCTTAATTTGTAGGCACAGCTGGGACTACAAGCAGCGTCCCAATGAACACAACATTATAAGCAGTTTGGTCACCGTGACTATGAGCATCTCTTGATGCTCTGCTCTGTTCCCTTGAACACAGCATGATGTCTGAATGTCCCACCATCCATGACAAACCTCGACTAAAATAAATAGAATTACTGTGAATTACATGAGACCACAGGGAATATCTGATCAGTTCATCCCGGAGTCCAGGTGGACGTTTGGGCCAACTTTGAAGAAATTCCCTTCAGGCGTTCCCGGAATATTAGAAAAAACAGAGCAGACGGACAGCCCGAAAATATAATAGCTGGGGTCACGGATGTCCCCGGCGGCATGAAAAAAAACAAAAAAAACAAGTGTGAGTTTCTGAGAAATCCCATCGGCAGACTGCTAGAATGGTCAAAAAGCGGCCTCACAGTTCTTCCTCGGCGACAGATCATGAAGCTTGTCACAGCGGGAGTCTTTTCTATGTTCAGGCTTGTTCACTTGTTCATGACCAGAACGCACAAAAACACACGAAAAAAACACACTATAACCACTGCAAAAATTAGTGCAGCCCTTGAATTTCTGGGCAACGACCGTCTTTGCCGATGCCAAGCTAACAGACTTTGAAAGAGAGACAGAGAGAGAGAGAGAGAGAGAGGGAGAGAAAGCAGGAGAGAGAGAGAGGGAGAGAGGGAGAGATGGATACGGAGTTGGCAGGCTGCTCTGTTGGCAGTGGTTGATGGTAATGAGGCTTTGATTGGGACTGAGTGTGAGGCCTTTGAGACATGAGAGGGTCAGGCAGTGGCAGCTCTGTTGATCACACACACACACACTCACGCACACTCACGCACACACTCTTCTGACTTCTACAGGCCTCCCACTCCTGATCCACCCCTCCTACACGCAAACACACATTGTACACAAGTACAAGCTCCCTGACACTGTCGCACCGCTCACTCATTCGCACACACACTCGCTCAAACACATGACACTCGTTTGGGAGCTCTTGGCGTTCTGAAAAGCCACTCGGGGGGGGGGAACTAACTTGCTCACATCACAGTCGGTAGCGCGATAGGGCTTTCATGCGCTTTAAAGAATTAAAAAAAAACAGAGAGGCTGCTCTCGACTCATCCCCCCCTCTGTGGTTTGGGCCGACACACATTTGCATTCTGTTTCATCGTGACACGTCGACACCAGCACCAAGTGAAACATGCAAATTGTGATAAACTTCTTTTTTTTTGTGTTCCTTTTCGGTAACATATTTGCTGCCGAGTGCTCACTGCTGAGGTGTTTGCTCAGCCGTAGCTCCCACATATCACCTGTCAATCAAACCACGTGGGCGTCACAAAGACGCGTTTGTCTTCGGAGGCTCAGTTCATTCTGTTTTGAGCTTCTGAATGTGGTGCTCGGGGGTCTGTAGATCAACTTAATCTAGTCCGAGACCAGGTCCAGTCGAGACCAAGTCAAGACCGAGTCCTGAGCAGATCGAGTCCAGTTCATCACCATAATAGGCAGTGGAGTCTTTCAAATGTTCATATAGTGACCCCTCTGACTCCCAAGCAGTTTCCCTCTATGGAAACAGCACAGTCATGGCTAGAAGCAGAAAGAACTCAAAAATATGTTTTGTGCAGAATAACATTGTTACAATGCCATCAATCATAAATAAGATTAAAACCGGAGTTAAAATTCTTTGATAATTTACTTTACAAAAATCGGAAGACAATTGAACCGATATATCCAACATTGTGCCCACAAGTGTTCCCAGTGTTGGAAAAATATGACTCTACGTGCTTCATACATTGAACTATTTACATTTTTACAACCTCTACTTACAGCCTCTCCTCTCCTCAGTGACGGTCGTTACAGCTTCTGGCTCGGATGGACGGTGTAGTTTTGGCAATTGTTTAAAGTAGACATGCTTTTCAATCTCGCCGGCGGGTTTTGACGTCAAACTAATCAACGCTTAGAATTTAGGTTTAAGCTAAAACAATCATTCCAATAAGGTAATCGAAGTCTGCATGCCGGAGGAGTTCTCTGCGTAAAGTCTACATTAAATCACTCAAAGTTCGTGAAGCTTTCATAAACTCGGATGAATCGCCAGCGTTCTGTGTCGACACTGAAATAACACCTTTGTGGGTTCTTCCTGTTAGCCGAGTGTGTGATATGAACTCGACGTACAGATGGGTTGAATACATCTCGCGTCATTATTTTCGGAGCGCGCGGCTGTCTCTGCCAGTAAACACTGGGCGCCGATCACACGGGCAGTCAGACGGAGATTTAATGGAGCAGATCTGATGCGGCCAATATTGAGCCAATCAGAGCGCCATAACGCTGATGTTCCGACGATGGGCGCCGATCGTTATCATCTGGGGGGAGAACTGGATTTCAGTGTTTGTGAGTGTGTGGGAGGACAGAAGATTACTGCGGTGTGGGACAAAACTTATGAGCGTGGATCTGTGTATAAACTGAGGGGCCTATAGGTGCTGTGTGTGGATTTCTGATTTCAAATATATTTCTGCGTGTGTGTGCAGTTGGAGCACTTCATGTGTTCCCTACTAATTATTCCAGTGTGTGTATGAGTGTGAGCTATGCCTGCATGTACGAGTTTGCAGTATTTGTGCATCCCACTGATTACTCCATTGTGTGTGCGTGTGTGTGTGTTTGTGTGTGTGTGTGTGTGTGTGTAGCCATGACTGCCCTCCATGAGTCTCTCTGCTCCCCTAAAAGTAAGCTGGTGTCATTTGAAGCGATCCCACCTGTTTGACACAGAGCTCTGCTGACTTCACGGAGCCCCCCGAGGGACAAACCCCCCCCCCCCCCCCCCACTGCTCCCATTCACAAAACAATGTCCTTTGTTTACCCTTCATTCCCCACGTTTAGCACATAAATGCAGGTTTTCTGACGTCACAAACACCGAAACGCTGCAAAACAGGATTAGTAAAACAGTAGAGGGCATTTTGGAGGCCAGTGGAAATGTTAAGGTCGTTACTTATTCAGTCGCTCGGAGCAGAATAATTTGGAACGATGTTTCGAGCGCTGCTTGGATGGAGACGGACGGAGTTTATTGCCGAGATGACAAAGATAAGGGGCGAAAATGTGCGTGTCCAACCGGGTGTCATGTGTCCGTCACTGCCAGTTGGAGCTGGATCAGATAATTACCTGCGGCTGCGGAGTCATTTTTCCCGGGAATGAATGCCGAATGTAACCTTTCTCACTAAAGACAAAATCCAGATACTGGTGGTTGTTAGTGGGTTTTACTGTCCTTTTTTACTACACATCTATCTTAAACGAGGCATTCAAAGTGTTAACAGGATATATATTTACAGTAAGGGCCTAAGTATGCCATCCACATGCAGTAAATGCACATTTGAGAGCTGGTGTATTTCTAGTTATTAGTGATTCTGAATGTTTTTTTAGCTAATGGTCCGTTAGATTGCTGCTCAGACGGCCTCCTTGATTCAGGTGTTTGCCTGTGTATCAAACTGCTGCTTTTAAAAGGCTAAATGGAAACAAATATGGATTGAAGCGGAATGTTCATTAGATAAAAATACGCTGTGAATTTTGGAACTGATTACATCTATCTTTTTTAAAAACGTGTTGGACTGAAATGATGACGGAGAGTGCCGCGTTGCTCCCTGTGTGTGTGTGTTTGAGAGGAGGGAGGGGCTTCCAACTATGATCTCACTTGCTTTCTGGAGCTTCCAGTCGTCGACGAAGATATTTCTGTCTGCTGATGAAGTCTGTGACATGGAGCTGAAAGACCCACATAGAGCTAGTGGGCCTTGAGTTGAGAATATTTTATTTAATTGCTATTTCCAGAGTCCAGAATAAAACTCGTACGCTCTAATGGGACATTAAATAAATTTAATCCACATGCATTTTGACATTTCACTGTTGGAAGCCAACTCCAGCTCACTTAATCGATCTCTCTTTGCCTTACGAGGTTATTATTTATCATCAGTCTCCAAACTGTATCTCCCTTTTCTCCATCTTTTCTCTCTCTCTCTCCATCTCTGTGGACCTCATTACCTTCCTCACTCAGAGAAGAGTCACTGTTTTCTCTTCCCTGTCACCGGCCACTTTGGCTAATATGATATACGGATATATTACTGGCTGGCCCCAGAGGCCTCCCAACCAATCAGAAGGAGGGAGGACAGACCAAATGACCTAGACGCCAAAGGTAATGGGCATAGAGAAAGGGGAGGAAATGTATAGACTTTACACTAATGGGATGCGTCTGTAGAGACAATTTCTGTCAGTTTAGCTAGAAGGGATTGTTTGGCAGGTCAAATCTTACAGGCTGCAGAGACAGAATTAATAACGGGAAAATAAACCACAAAGGTCAAGTTGTCTGGAGGCTAATTAGTGTTTCATCTCCAGCTCGGGCCGGTCCCGTTCATCCGTGTCACTCACAGAATAAATCATGAGCCTCTTTAGGAACATCCAAGCCTTCCAAAAAGTGTGGTTGAATGTTTTACCTGTTTAAAGAATATTACAGGTTGTCCATGTGTAAACAGACGTACCCAGCCGGTAGTTTAAGGGCCGTTTTCTTTCACACAGAACTCACTCAATAAGGATGCATCAGCTGTTTGCAGTAGATATTGATCAGTGTGTCTTACAGACGCACTGATATCGAACGCATCTCAGCCCTCGCATGATCGCGGATTGAGTACAAAGAGTGTAGTTGAGGAAAGGTGTGCGACGACTTGCAACGGGTAGATAACTATACAGTAAAAGTGATCAATGAAAACACAACGTACTTACAATAAGAAGAAAAGCTGTGGGCGAACTGTGTACGTACTTATTAGAGTACGTTCTTACGCAGCTGCAGAGGAGACTTGCTGTTAGGTCTCCTACACAACTTGTATTATCCATTCGTGTACATTTCAAATGCCTAGATACAATTTCGACATCAAACATAAAGAAATACCTTCAAGAATGTAATTAAACTGATTTGCAAACACGTCTGTGAGGGCTTTTCTTGCTCGCCGCTCTGTCTACGCACTCTGGCACAGGCCGGTTTGGTGAAAAACAGAGTTATTCCTAAACGTCCTCTTACCTGAACATGTCCCCGAGTCCTTTCAGCATGCCCTTCTTGGCTTTCCCCTTGTCTTTCTCCTTCCCTCCCTCCTGCTTCTTCTTCTCCTTCCCTCCCTTGTCTTTGTCTTTCTTCTTCTCCTCTTTGGTGCGATTGGTGCCGTTGACCAGCGGTTTCTCGGTGGTGCCGGACAGCGGGGTCTGGTCGGCCACCGTGGACACGGAGTCTCTCCCAGATCGGGAACTCTCCTCTGTGTCCTCCTCCACTGGAGAGACGGAAGGACATACAAGGTGGGGACACAGAGAGAGAAGCATGGAGAATTAAGAACATGCTCTTTTTAACCAACGAAGTAGTATTTTTAATTAGAGCTGAAACATATATGAAAATCCATAAGCCTAATAAAAGAAAATCTATAAGTCTCATAAATGTGCAAAAAGGCACTTTTAATAATTGCATATCACGGATCGTAATCTTTAGAGACCATTACACACCATCTTATAAAATGAGGGAAATTACTATTTGATGGTATTAGAGCATATTACTCCAACAAAATATGAGATTAACGTCAGAACGGAGACGTCAGATTATTCAGGCTATAAAAAGGATATTAATGATTACAGAATCACACTCTGAAAATAGTTTCTTTTGTGGTATGAAAGATAAAAAATTCTTATTTAATTCTACGAGGATAAGACATTTGAATAGTAAATAGGAAGAAAGCTGCCTGCGTGTGAAAAGGTTCCAGTCATTGGGCGTTTTGTGATCTTATACGTACACATTCATACATAATTACAACCCGTCACTGGGACAGAGTTCACGGCTGTACGCGTCACGCTTGGAGATTATGCATTTTGTATCGTGGTACCAATGGAAATAATTCTGTTGATAAACTTTCCATATTGCGTCGGTCTCATTTACAAGTAGAATTCAATCAATCTAATCTGAATTGAACCTTAAAAGGAAGCATTAATCAGATACAGTGACTTAGAATATGTTGTTTGGTGATGATGGAAGCAGACAGCTTTCCAGACGAGACGCTAGTCTATGTCCGAACTCGTCCTCTCATTAACGGAGTGCATCTTGACATGTAATACAGTGGAGTGGATAGTTACATCTTGAGTCAGCAGTATGCCATTGCCACAAGCTGTAAAACAACCACATGCCAGATATTGAGCATTAGTCAGAATGCAGTCACTCCCATGCACGAGTATGGAAGCCACATCCAGGTTTTAGTCGCCGAAACGGTGCGTTAGTGACCCAAATGCAATGCCATTGTACAGTTTCATATCTCAGACATGTTACGGAAGGCAAAGAGTGACTGAGGTTGAAGTTCCTTGCTAAAAGACTCTGACAGGACTCCCAGGTGATGGATATGGACACGACCGATTCAGCTGTCGTGGGATCAAACCTGTGCTTTTTCAGAAACAGGACAGTCTCGTTAACTGTTGGCCGATATGCAAATGGTGGACATCTTACGTGTCTCCATGCCCTCGTCGTCTTCTTCCGTCGCAACTGGTCGGTCGTAGGATTTGTCGATGGCCGCTCTAAAGCTCTCGTTGCAGCCCCGCCCCCTGATGATGCGAGGGCGTGGCCTGTGGAAGGGGTGGTCCCCGTTGAGGGTTACCTCTGCAACAGCCGTCTGGAGGCTCTCGAGCGAGCTGGACTTCTTCAAGCCTAGCGATGGTCCCACGTCCTTTGTGGAAGAACCTGATGGGAAGATACAGAGGTTTGTGCTAGTGAATAAACCAAGTCGCCATCGAGACCTTATTTTAATACAGTAATATTAATACTGTAGTGTCCAATATAATATAAATTATAGTTAAAGTTCATCTAAAATCTGCCGTGTCATTTATTTTTTTATCAGTTTACTAATATTATTATAACAGAAAGCAGATAGAATCCTACTATCTGGATAAACTTCTGATATTCAATGTTTACATAACCTTCATAACTTCTTTTAGTGCAGCAATAAATAACACAATCAGCCCAGAATCAATACGTACACATTGACTTTGGCTGCGTTAGAATGTTCTCAAGGATGACGGATGATGGAGTGCGAGAGAGGCAACATGATCATGAGAGTAATGTTACAATATGACTGAAGAGGATGATTTAAGAGGGTGGATTGAGAGGATGAGAGAGACTTTATTCAGCGTAAAAAACAAAGTCAGCAGTGGGACACATATTTCACAACAAGCCGCATCCTGCCAATCCCGAATGACCAGCAACTAAAGCTGTCCAAGTATGAGCTCAGAGTCTTCACGGTGGAGTCATTTTAGTGCACTTTTCCATTTGTGGTGCATTGTGGGAGCTCACAACGAGCCTCAAGGTGAACGTCCACTGAAAGAGTCATTCAACGAGGGATTACATCATTCTCAGGCTGCATTCTCTAACTCTTCTGTTTGTACCTGATTGTTGACGACCTGCTCAATTCTGCAGGAAAGTTACTTAAATGCTGCAACACTGTTTCAGAGACGTCGTTTCTCTTTCTCCACACAGTATGATGCAGAGGAAGAGGACAAACTAAAAAGCACTCACAAAGGTTGATTCCATATTTCCATGACTTGCAAGTGATCAGATCAAATCTGTAGGCCAATTAAGTAGCTACGCAGGTTACGCAACTTTCCAACACTGAAGCATGAGAAATACAGGTCCACCATTGGAGAAGGGTCTCACTGCAGTCTCACAAGCTACAGGACACACCCACTTTAATACGTACGTGGACAACCTCTGGGTTTAATGTACCAAACCATCATGGTTCTTCTAAACCAAACCAAGTGGTTTTGGTGCCTAAACAGAACCACACAGGTCTGATGCCCACACCTAACCGAACTGTGACCATCTCCAGGGCGCATCATGCTGCAGTCATGTCCTGTGGAGCTGTGACTGAGAAGCATCTGTAGAAATATGTTGGAATCACATTTCAAACCAGCTCAAAATGCTGCAATGACGTTTTTTTTGCTGTTCAGATTTTCTAAAATCAATCTTGATACAATCTGGACATGTCAACAGATGAATTTGGGCTGTCAGTCTGAACCGAGCATTAGTGTAGTGAAGCACACCTGGTCTACCTGAACATGCTTAGACCTCCGAGGACCAATAAGCCACTCTGACAACAGCACACCATATTTAAACCAAGAAGCAGGCTAATCCGATTGTGTGTGTGGAACATTCCTCCTGACTGACTACAAAATCAATTACAAGACGTGGCTCTGAATGAAAATAACCATCAGCAAAATAGGAGAAACATGACAATTTAATTAAACTAAGACTATTTGTACGGTGGTGCAGGCATAATTTCTGTTCCCATATGGCTCCTTTCACAGGCTGACAACGTGTACGGTGGCAAATAAATGTGAAGAGACGAGGTGAGGAGGTATGAAGGTAAACGGAAGAGTCACAATCTCTTGGGTGGTGTCACTTTAGAGCCACTGTAGCAGAAGGCTGCAGAATACACATGGCCTGATAGATTAACATGACGGGCCATGAGGGAGGTCGAGGGAACGAGAGAGAGGAGGAGGAGTGAGGAAAGAGGAGAAGAAGAGAAAGGAGGGATGAGAGGACAGAACAATAAATGTCAAAGACAGAAACATCTACTGTTTGAGTAACTTAATTTGCTCAGCAATTTGTGTGCCCTTCATGAAAAAAGAACTCTATATTGGTGACCCGTTTATGTAGATTTGCATCTTCAGCCGGGGCAAAGGGCCTCGGGGACCTATTTTAGTCACGTTATGTTGCTGTATTTACAGTGTTTTGGGTGATTTCAATTATCATTCTAAGCCTAATGTACTAGGTTGTCTTGAAACAAAGCAAAACGTTCAATTAGGGCAAAAATATATTGAAATTTATTCAAATGACCTGCCAGTGCTGTAGAATCATTTTAAACAGCATGTCTGGAAGCGAGCTTGAATATAAAAAAACAACTGCCGAGCTTCTTGTTTACAGCGAGACCGGCCGAAAAAAAGAATAAAGACGGAGGAAAGAAATAGAAATGGAAAATTGAATAAATGCAGAGTGAAGAAGCGAGTGGGCTGGCGGCCGCCCATTCATTCTCATCAGCCCGTCCTGTTGCCTTAACGTCTCACTGAGAGGCTTCTCACGCTGCACACACACTTTAGTTAAAGGCTTTGCTCGGCGCCATTCACTAAAGTCACACTTCAGTGCAGTCTTAAAAAAATAAAAGATTGTTTACACTGTGTTGGAGATCTGACAAATGGCATTTTGTCACAAACATGACAAACTTATTGTCTTTTTGGGAGACTTTCCAATAACCTGCTGATGAAATATTGTTCTGGTCTCGGCCTACCTGGACACAGAGAGTGTGCTTAGGGAATTTGGAATACAATAAAAAAGAAACCACTAAATTGTTCTGGGAACACAGCTCACATACAGCGTGTGACAGAAATTAAATGACAAAAAAAAAAGAGCTAAATGGATTATTTCTAATCTGGCAACCAGTCAGTCCGTTTTGAGTAATCTGTGTCAGTGTGTTTGGACAGAGTGACACTCCTACTCGTGTGCAGATAAACATGATCCCAACAAGTTAAGCAGTGACAGGCTTACAACAACAAATACAGAGCGATCACGTTGCAGCTGGAACAATGAGAGGTCACAATGGTGTTGACATTTGACAAAGCTCCGGGTATCCCTGCGCCACCACGATTAACTTCTCCTCCAGATGTTTACCGGGGACCGATATTCACGGGAGAAAGACAATATATCTGACAGCTGTAATTGGTTGTTCGTCGTCACATGACATGCGTTGCAGCGTCCAAAAAGTTAAACAAAAGAGCGTCACTCTCGCTTTTGAGCGTGCCTTCTGTTCGTCACATTTGCAACAATGGATTTTGGGGGGAGCAGCAAACTCGACATGTGAACGCCCCCCGAAGGGCCACTCCCCATCTACCGAGCATCACTAGTCCACAACACGACAAAACCTGAATCCTGCTTCAGAAATACAGAATTAGTAACTTCAGAAAATATTTCCTACGTCCCTAAACGGACTCACAAAACAGTTTGACAACGTCCGCATGAGGTTCTGGACACTGCCAACAGTCCTGCATTGTCCTCCATCACTGAAGTGTCCTTGTTAAACATGTGGCAGTGGCCTGTGTCAATACACGTCTCAGCCAATCACAGCTGAGATATAGGATGAGGGCTACTATATCTCTCAGAGCTGTCAGTCTTTGGTTTCAGCAGGATGGCTGTGTTTAGGCTTTAGGAAATGGACCATGGATCACTTGTATTTACTGAGGGAGCAGGGAGTTTTTAAAAATGTTGGTAAAGTGACACCAGGGGCCCCACAAAGTGAAACTAAACCGTGGGCACTTAAAAAAACCAGGGTGAAATCTATTGGCCCACAACATGAGACGAATTGAATGGATATTAGATTCCAAATTCTCACAATGTTCACACTAGATACCCACCTTACATCATTTCAATCAGTTTCTGTCAGTGTAATGAGATCACTTCTGAATTTCAATGTGAAAGCAGATCAATCGAATTCAGATTAAACAACAGTCCCTAAATAAAGCACATTTTTTAAAGCTACCACGAGGAACTTTCATTTTGGCGCCTCCTGTGGACAAAAGCGGAAGTGTTTCAGAGCACCAGAGTCCCTCTAGAAAACGTCTCATTTTACTGCAGTAAGGTCTGACAGTCTGCCTCTCTGCCATAGTTTGTGCAACGCTTGCTGAATTGTTAACTTTTCCTAGTTGTCGCATTATGCAACCGTACGGCTGACTCATCTGTTGCCACCATTTGGCAGATACACCTTAGAAATATATGCAACATACAATCTCCTCCTTGCCGACTCACGATACAACATGACAGAGAGTTGGAAACATTCCCCTCTCCATCTCACGGCCGCCTACACACACTGTTAAAAAATGTTTTAAAAGAAGTATTGAAATACTAATCGAAATATCCATTTGAGCTTTTCCACGAGACCTCCTTCGATCCGCTCGCCGCACTTTGTCTCCGTGTTTCCGTCCTCGCACTTTATTATTGAGTGAGAGTTCATGAGACGGCCTCCATCTTGCACTCTAAAACCTCTCATCTCTCTTCTTCCCTACACGTCCTCCCTTCAGCGGGAGCCGTCCTATTGTCCAGGTCGCTGATATCAGAGGCAGGCCTTCCGTTCACTCGATGCGACAGTGAAAACACACGAGGCCTGACAATGACGGATGGCTCGCTGTCAGCTCGCAGCCTTAACCAAGGACAGAGTGCTTTCTCTGCCGCCCCTCTTCCGTGCACACAACAATTAATGCTACAGCCGAGGCAAAGAAGGGGAGAAAATCAAATCTGTAGTCACCCGACTGCTTTCACGAGCATGTTCGGCAGCGACCTCAAACTGTGGCAAGGACTGCGAGTCTTCTCTCTGCAGTCAGACTAATTTGTCTTGTCAAAGAGCGAGCAAAACACAGAACTCTCCACAAAGGCATGAAATGGTAGAGCGGCGGATAAACCTTCTGAAACATACATCTGCAACTTAGTCACTGGATTCGTATTTGCAGATCCATGTGTGCAATTTCATGCCTGTTGTCGTTGCTCCTGTTCACTGTGTGTCACATCCTGCAGCAGCTATGAATCAATACAAAGCCATGGAAACAGGTCCTCTTACTCTGACTCACCTCTGCAGATACAAGTGTTCCTAACATGAATGAACAGCGATCCTGTTTATGTCTTATCATACAAAGAGTGAAGGCAGAAAGCACGGAGATCTGGGATGTTGTGAAGGACCTGGGACAGAGGGGGTTTCTAAATGCTTACATGTTTCTCCGATGGTCTAAGACAATATATAAAATATCAGGAAACATAAACAACTCTCTTAGAAATCTGAAAACCCGAGTGTTAAAAGTCAAATGAGTATAAAGTGTGGAGCTGCTGCACAGACAATGAATTGGGAAATATGTTATAGACGACACTTCTGAGGATATGGGTAAACTGAGGACACTACAATAGAATCATTTGGGTATAACAAAGGAAAACAGAATGCATTGTCTGTAGAGCAGCTGCAGACTGTATTTGACACCCAAAGTTCTAGACTTCTCAAGGTTTCTGACTTTGAAAGAGAGAAGCTCATGTTCACTAATATTGATTGAACTTTCCGAGGCCATAGAAATACATAACAGAATTCAGATTGTGTTCCCGTTTAAGTGACCACAGACTGTGATGGAGAACAGTTAAATCCTCTGCTTCCTACGTCTATATGTGAACAGATTATATGAAACTTTGTGGATCTTTGATGAGTTAGAAAAGGATTAACGAGATAAAATGGAGGACTGTTTTTCAGACGGCAGTTATTCAAAAAAATGCACCACTAACATACCGTTAGTCTGTGAATAGGCCAATATTGAAGACTGGGTTGGTTGTATTCATAATTTCTCCAAATTCTGTAAGTGTGCTTTATAATATTTAAGTGGAGAGACTACTATTTTTTTTATCTGCTTCCATTTTAATCTGCTGTCAAAGCCGTTTGCTGTTGATGCAAACTCAGCGCTCTCTATATTTACCAGTTTTCTAGGAAACGTTTATTTCCACAGCAGTGCGGCAACATGTTGCTGCCTCACTCTACTCTGCTGCACTTTGTTTCTCCTTCTGTTCTCATGCACTAATTAATTAAAGTTGGTGCTTCTTTGTCGTTCTTTTAAACACTGAAGTTACGGTCAATCACATCCTGCAGAGATATTTCAAATTAAATCCTTTCAGCAGCTCATGGGGCAAAATCGACCTCCTTTCCTAGTATGCTTTTAATTTGAAACATCTGCAGGTTCATTGAGAGCAGCTTACAGAGATAGTTTGGGTGTTTGGCAGTGGTTGTATGAAGTGCTTATCCACAGTCAGTGTATTATCTACAGTGGATGACAGTTGGCATGCCCAGAGTTTAGAGAAACAGACCAACACGGGAGCAAAGCAGTGTCCTGCTGTGGACGGGGGCAGCAGCAAAATGTATTTTATAAACCTAAAATAGAAACAACAGTTTAAGTCTACGCTATATTTAGAGTATTTTCATGGCTTCACCCTGCAGTCAGACAGGGAACTAAAGCAGTTATCAATACTCTCTTCAAAGCAACAAGACTCGCAGAACACGACAGTGCTGCTCTACCGCTGCCTCCATCGGTCCGTTTGTTCTGTGACTTCGGTGTTTTAAAGGGTTCGTCTGGATTCAACAACACAAACAAACTAACCGATGGAGGCACTGGTAGAGCAGCAACTCCCGTGTTCTGCGAGGTAGAATTACTGTTTACGTCAAAAGGAGCCTGGTGGCTTTGAGGAGAGCAGAGGTCACGGCTTCACTTCCCGGTGAGAGAGTCAAAATATAGTGTGCATTTAAACTGATATTGATTTTTTTTACTGTAGGTGAGCCCTTCTTTTTAGTGTCTGAAATATGTTTTGCTGCTGCCCCCCCCCCCCCTCCACAGCTGTACATCGCCTTGCTCCCGTGCTGGTACTCCTGTCTGCTGCTGTAGGTGATACACTGACTATGTTTCAGTACCTCATACAACCCCACTTCAAAAAAATCAAAACCATCCCTTCAACACTGAATTTTAAAAATTCAGCATCGGGAGAAAACACAGCGCATGAAAGCAGTGTTTCTCAGAGCAGCAGAGTGGTGAGTTAGACTTTTTTTTTGTTGTACTGAATGAATAAACTGTGTAAATGAACATTATACAGAATGTTCAATGAGAGCCATTACAGTGCAGGTAATTTCCCTCCTTTGCTGGATGAATTACGGTGTACGAGTCGGAATGAGCTCAATGTGATGGGATAATAAAATATCAAGTGGTATAACATCGTAAAACTGCAATACTCTCTGAATGAATCACATCTCCCTGGGGGCTTTTCCTTCAAAGTAACAGTCAAATACCACTTATACCCCTCAGTCCCAGGTCTTAGATGTGCACCTTGAGGAGGAAACAAAGTGATGGTGATGGTGGCGAAGGCGAGTGTTCCGTTCTACCTGTTCAGTGCCTTACCTGCGTTGGTGTCGGGTCGAGGGGTGAGGTTAAGCTCGTCGGCTACTGTTAGAGGAAGGGCGAGGAAAGAAGGGAGGGGTACAAACATTTGGGGTTCAAGTTAGTGCAAAAATGACATTCCACATGCGGCATTCAGGTAGCGCTGCAAACATCACAAACTGCTTCGTCTCAATTAGGATCGGACGCCATGCGAGACGAGGAGGTGGAGAGGAGGGGGGGGGGTCTGAGGATAGCAATCAGACTTGTTGTGATATCAACACGGCACAGAGCGGCAATCTGGTCGGGAAGATTAGATGTGATTATGGAGAGTGCGAGCAGAGAGACTGTTGCAGGCCAAAGCAATCAGCGGCTGTTTCGGAGCCATCTCAAGGTGAATCAGCGCCGAGGAGTTCTTGACTTTGGCGGGAGATGCAGAGTCGGTTTCCGTACAGAGGAAATTGGGTGGAATACATTTAAATACAAGGGATGTGTTTGAAACACACCGGCATGCAGAGCGTTACAGAAAATCAGATTCAAAGGTTTTTACAAAGTAGCTGAAGTGTGTTAATATTACTGGATAGAAATGTGTACACAAGCCTGAAGCGCTTCATTTTCTTAATGGAGATAACCCAACACATCTCATATTCTACGTTTGTTGGGGGGGAAATAAAATGTGATTACATTCTGAGCACCAAGAATATAAGTATTAACCTTGAACTGTATCTTAAAATGAAAGAATTGACATGAGAAGAAAGAGGATAACAAACTGCGTCCCTGCTCTGGGACAACATGTCTGATCTTCCTGGAACTGACTGAACAGACCACGTTTACTGAAGGCACGGGGAGCCTTTTTGAAAGCTGTACCTAGATCCATGCTCTTGGACTTGCGCGTCTTGATGATCTCGAGCTGCGAGGCGTCTCCGAACTGCTTGGTGCGTTTCTCCGACATGCTCTGGCGCCCGAAGCCCTCCCTTTGGAACGTGCCGTCCGGATCGTTTTCGTCTGGATTCACGGAGCTGGATGGAGGGATGGAAGATGGTGACGGGGAGAGATGAGAGAAGATTGACATTATTGTTCTGACACGGGGGAGAAATTGCATCACGCCATGGAAAGGGAGGACAAGAGGAGATGAATAGCAGAGATAACTGATGTTTTAAATAAAGAAATACTACAGGAGGAAGAGAAAGAAAAAAGGAAAGACAGCAGTGGCATGGAGACAGAGTTGAATGAGGAGCAACAGTGACAAAAAAAAAAAAAAAAGAAGCTTATTCATTCATTGAACTGATACGCTTCAAAGAGAGAAGCAAATATAAGGTGAACAAGAGATGAGGTAAATCTAGGAAACAATTAGGAGAGCTGGAAAACAATAAAAGCAAGGGTTGGGGCGATGAACAGAACAAAGTTGGAAGATGGGAAGACTGAAGGGGGAAAGAAATGAAAGAGAAAGAACGGATAGAAGTAGAAGCTGAGAGGATGTAAAACGTAAAATAACTGAGAAAACGAGAGCTTTAGATAGAAGAAGGTGAACCGGTGGCAGAGAAATAATGAGAGGCAGTGAAATAAAAAACCAAGGAGGAAGAAGCAAAAGTAAAGTGTTAGAGACACAAAGACAAGGCAGAGCGGGACAGATGAGAACAAGAGATACAACATGAGAAGAGAGTTAAGCCAAAGAGGAACAAAGTGACACGAAGAGATGAAAATGATGAAATTAAAAAGAGAAAGAAACTACCACACCCAAACAAAAATAAAGAGAAGACTCTTCATCTTCATCACTGACAAGAACACACAAATATGTACGCACTCTTTTGAACATGTGACGTTTCACTGTTTTAAGAATAAAACACATTCATCAGATTATCTGGTTAGTCGCAGCTCTACACTCTGCATCCACTTCCTAAATCTCCTGAGGTTGACGTGCACACACACAAACACACACACACACACACACAGTGCACAACGAGTCCTCAGCAGCAATGTGACAGAATGAGAGTCCTTCACAGGCTGAGAGGCCAGCGGAGGAGAGGGCTGCCCCAGTGAGAGCCGCTCACAATCAGGGAGCAATCAAGGAAAGAACCCGCTCTCGCTCTCACACACACACACACACACACACACACACACACCAACCGGCAACGTCGGAGACTCACTGAGCTTGTTCACACGTGGCGCTTTGGGAAGGTGAATGTACTATGCAGGGAATTCTAAGCTGGTCCGCTATTTAAGACGTAACGTGAGGCGAAAGCAGAGCGAGTGTCGAGTCTAATGCGGCGTTACAGCTCAAGCGGTCCTTGGCCTTAAAATAATAGAGCAACTCTGTGTTCATCAAGCGGAAGGAAGACTCAGCGGTTGGGGGAATTCAACGTTTTTCGCCCACCTGTCGTTCTGAGTGGGCGGCTCTTTGGCCCACGGCGGCGTCGTGTCGGCGGTGAAGCCCACATCGTCGTGGGAGCTGGAGGACGACTGGTCGGAGAGGTGGGGCGGGAGGAGCGGCGGCCGGTCGTCCTCTATGATCACCGTGTCGTCCTGCGGCATGTTGACGGTCGGTGAGAGCTGATAGTTTCCTGGAGGAGACAAGACCACTTGTTTTTATTCACACTAATCTCTTCATTTATTCACAGGCGACAGTTTTTCAATTCACTTCCTCTTCCACCTCATGCTTTGACCACACAGATTTGTATAAATAATGAATGGTTAATGTCAAGTTCCCCTTCTGAATCAAGTCTACAGTGGTCTATCACACTAGTGACAGAAGGACCAACGCATAGATTCACATGACCGGATCACAATCGACCAATCAGCTGCTGTTAGAATAAAACCAAAAGCAAAATAAGCTTTGTCATATGTTTGATGATCACCATCAAAACTCTGTGCATCTTATACTAAAAGGAAGAGTTCAATGTCTTGGAAAATGCGCTTCAACACAACCAGAGTGCGATGAGAACATGGACCCCCCCCCCATGTGTGTGTGTGTGTGTTGGGTGCAGAGCTGGGAGGCTTAGCTTAGCTCGCCGTGTAGCTGGAGGCACCGGGACACAGCTCGCCTGGTTCTGTCCATTGTTCAATGTTCCATTTCAAAAAGGGAGTTGCATCACAGTGAAACTATTTCTTGACAAAAAAACCTGCGTATCCATCTGCCCACAGTGCTTCTGTGTTCTGGTTGCCTGGCAACGTCCCGGTGACGGCAAGAAGTCACTGCTGCTGGTGAAACAGTTAAAGCACAGACGGCCCTTCAGGAGCACTGACTGTTCTTCTTCTGTTACAGTCTCTACAAACAAGATGCATGTGTCAAGTCGTAACCTTAAAGATGCAGGTTGGTGTGTTTCTGAACTATGGACGATGGTTAGCCGTTTCTGCCTCCAGTCTTTATGCTATGCTAAGCTAATCAACTGCTAAAGGTCATTTTGATAACATTATGTAGACAAATCTATCTATCTATATCTATAGAGATTTTAGAAAAGTGCAGAATAAAAATGTGGTTTTCCACAAAAGATATGATTGTGAATTCATCTTTTTTTTTTTTTAATGGGTCCAAAATGAATGTTTTATTTATCTGACTTTTGGTTTCGGCATCTGACAAGTTTTGTGAGCAATTAGTATAACGATAGCACGTGGTAATAGCTTAGCATAAAGTAAGTGAATAGTACGTTTATCAAAATGTCTAACTACTCTTTTAATAAGATACTGCTAACCTGAATCATGACAGCCTTGCTAGCATCAGCACACGTGAATCAGACTCGTTCAAACTCATGTGATTATTAACATGTGAACAGAACAGAACTACTGTCACAGAGTGAT